GGCTGAAGGTCTGGAATCCATGGCAGCTTTCATTGGCCAAGGCCCGCCCATGAGGCCGTTTGACCGACATGTCAAACAACCAATCACAGTTCGTTTCGTTTCAGCGTCACGCTTCGGGGCGTGGAAATGTCGGCACAATAACAGACCGGTATGTAAAACTCTCTGACTATTTTAAAGATTCTGTGCCGCGAACTTGAAATATTTCACATACTTTTGAGAATCCAGCATTTAGTTGATCCTGATAAGCGCTCATCGTCACAGTTGTAAACACGACGGCTTTCTTCTTTCGTGTGTGGGTTTGGCGCCACGGCATCTTTGTTTCCAGACGGAACGTTATAGAACGCGACACACACGTCTCCCGGAGATCCTGTATAATTCAACCAATCCGATGACCACTTCAAAACTCCTGAAGTGTTTCCACTTTTGTGTGCCATATGCATCAGACATACAGCCAACGGTCCGTGGGCGTGACGTGATGTCTGAGGCTGAGACTAGGGCCTTATCTACTCGTTTACACGAGCGCTCACAGACTGTCAGAGCCGATCCTCCCTATATGCAAAATAAGCAAGCTGCATAGCCCCACCCCGAAACACCAGGGGGCCCCCTTGCTCCCTGATCATTTATTTTAATGCGGTGCGCTGTACGTAAAAATCAGTGAAATCATGTAATGTGAATGTTGTAGTCTTGCTCGAGACTAAAAAAAAACGACTTGAACGCGTACCGAGCCGCGGAAGAGACGGAGTGAAACACGGACAAATGCATTTCATTCATTTGTTCATAACCACTCATACCCCACTCCACCGCGAATATCTGCTTCTGACGAATGAACTGAACTTGCTTCAGTCCGCGTGAAAAAGCAGGAAACAATCAACAAAAGTATGTGGGCTTCCAGCTGTGGCCTGTGGGTGAGACATACTTGAAGCTAATATTGGGCGTGGTTTATATTTACATTTGGACCTGGTGAAAATGAGATCAGTCAGATTAAAAAAAAAAAACAAGCCAGATCTCAAGGGATTGTGTTGGGAAACAAATCTGGGGAAGGCTACAAAATTCTGCTGCATAAAGGCTTCAAGAGCACATGTGGCCACCACAATCTGCCATAAAAACAAAAACAAAACAAAACTGTTTTTGAATTGAATTGTCCACAAGATGGCAGCACGCTAGATGTGAACAAACTTGTTGAACCGGTCCAATTATACCATTATTGACAATTAAATAATACAATTAAATAATAATTAAATTTAGTATCATAAATAAAGGAACACCTTTTCAAAATTTCTTGTACATTCTGAAAGGCCGAGGTTGTCACATCTTTTAATGCAGTGAATATTTCCCAATAAACTTGTAAACAGATGTGGTTCTTTGAAAATGTGCCTTTGTGACAAGTCCCAATAAAAAAAATTAAAACTTGCGCTGACCCACAAATTGGGTATTTGACTCTAAACCTTATGGGAACGAAATTCTTCATTTTTTTTACGATAGTAACTTATCTGTTCTTAATAAAGAGTCACTTACTTTGTCACTTACTTACTTTCACTCCACCTGTTTTTAGTTGCTTAAACTGTTTTTTGTACCTTACAACTGTGAGCAAATATGCTACATTCAGTTTTTATTGCAACATTTATAGAATAAACTCAACATACAAAAATACACACACACACACACTCACATTATGTATTTATATAGCCGGTAAGAAATCTGACTTGATGGTAAATTACCTGACAGGTAACCAGCGTGGATGAAAGTTTATTGGGTAAGTTGTGCATCAGCACTAAGCTTATGAGTAATTTGCAGTAGGCTATTATAATGGATTTCAAAAATAAATAAATAAATAATCCTTAAATCTCAAACAGGTGTGTGTGAATAACTTTTAAACAATCTTAGTGACTCTGAAACCATATTCTGAGAAGAAGAAAAAAACTATTTCAACAGTAATCTTGGTCTGAACTGTATATCTTGTGGATTGTTTTGGAATTGTTCACTAGATGGCAGCACTCTACATGTGTAGTGTACCTTCCTTGCATTAATTAATAGCCTACTTTTATAATGACCAACAACAACACACACATATAATCTGTATTTAAGATGTTTATAGGCATTCTTGGTGAGACGCTTTGTAAGGATATAATGATTCTCAGTGCTGTTAAGTCGTTTGTTACAGTCTATATTCTGGCACACTTTTCATCAACTTCCACAGGGAAACTGCTTAAAAAGCATGGTCACTTGATTTTTCTTTTTTCTTTTTTGTTCTTCTTCTCAGTACAAATGGACGTGTAGCCTACAAAACATTGTACATGCTCAAGTGAAGGTCTCTGAAACTATAAGGAATTAAAAGACATTTGAAGGTTTGTAAGGGTAAAATGTGATTATTAATCTTGAAATAAATCTTTATGTGTAGTCATACTTTCTTGTTCAGACTTTACACCAATCTGGGTCAGAAGAATTCGAATTCACCGGATTACGGGGGCGTGTCTGCAGTCAGAGCGAAAGGTGTTGAGTGGGCGTGGTCATCCAGGTTTCTTTGCTCAGACATCTAGAGAGAGGGCGCCTGTTCACTGCGGTCCATCCAATGGTGAGGAGCTGACTGAGTCGCTATGGTGACGAGATTGTTTCGACAGAAGCTGTGATGGGTTGACAGGTGCGTGACAGTCGCGTCTGTGCAAGCATGTACGCCAAAGGCAAGAACAGCGTGCCATCGGATAGTCAAGCCCGAGAAAAGTAAGTTATATTGATCAGGAGGTGGAGGAGGAATTCTCGCGATCACATCTGCAGTCGCACACAAGAGGAGACATATAAGACAGCAGCTGGCGCATGTAGGCTACTAGGCTACTGTATGCTTCGCCTCTCAAGTTACGTGCTTTCTGCATTATGAGAAGTATTATTAGATCACTTATTGAATCGTGTGGTCATGTAGCAGTCTGTATGATTATCAAGGATAATTTAGTTTCCTTAATCGTTCTTGAGCAGTTCAGGGCAGAATCTTTTTTTTAACAGCACGTAAATAACTAACTCAAATAGTTTGCTTCCTTGTTACTGTGTAGCTCAGTGTTTTATGCATTTTACATTTGAGTGACCTTTCCAGCTGTCCATCTGAATGTCTGTTGGCTGTTATTCCTTGTCTTAGACATTTTGACTGATCGCTAAACAAAACAAGCTTGGTTGTGTTATGTTGTTCTGTGCCAGAAGGTGTTTAAGCGTTAATCATAAGGATGCTCAAACCATTTCACAGTAGGCTAATAGGGCGGTTGACAAATAGTATGGACAACTTTATTTTCAACATCATGATTTTATGCTTAAATGTATTCCTTTCCACATGATTGTTTTTTAGTGCTTTGGCAATTTATTTTATTCTCAACATTTGTTTTAAGGTTTTCTCATTTTTGCTGTCCACTTTGAAAGATTTACTTCGTTTTTTTTAATTAAAAGGTTTTACAAATGAACTGAACATCACTTTTGAGAAATATCATTAAAATGGTGTTCATTCACATGAGACGAAGACATTATATACAATAAGTAGCCTATTCTAGAAACAGCTGTTTTATTCTACATGGACATGGACCAACAAGTAGTCCTTGCTAAAACCATATTTCTAAACAAAATTCGTAGTCAAAGATAAAACTAAAGGTGCTAGGTAATGTGCTGAGGGTCGTTGTATTGTATGTTGAATGTTGTCAGTCCTTTTGCAAGTCAGTCACATCTTAAATTGCATTTAAATTGCAAAGTGCTGTTGGCCGTTTATCTGTGGTGTCAGTTTAGACTTGTGTCTGGTAAACGTAAATTTTTGTAGGCCGATCTCAGTTTGAGGAGTCACAACAGATTAAAACTGTCATATAGCACTAGCAATAAGTTATTATTAATAACTCTCTGTGCTTTTGGGTTTCACTACATATGCATACATATGCGTCCCAAATGAACATTTGCCAAATGCCAGAAGTGAGTAAAATGTTGCTTTTTTTTTTTTTTTTGAGTAAATAAAATGCCAGCTGGCATGTAACCTTATTAGGAGCCGTAACATAATACATGGTTTAAATCTGACCCTCACTCATGTAAGTGATCTGAGCTATTCAAATCAAAGACATGCAAACTGTCTACTAAAGAAAGCATCTGTCACAACGTCTTCTAACAGCTTTTAGCTCAGTGGAAAATGTATTATAGGATGTTTATCTAGAATGCCTGAAGTTTCTTTTCTTCTCTAGAACTCCATGTGGAAACACATATGTGGAATATTCCTCACTTGGAGATATCAAAACAAAATGATGAAACAAAATCACCATGGAGGTTTTTGTGACAGTTTCTGAAGATATCAAATAAATAATTCAGCTGTCATTAATATTATGATTTTATTTATTTCTTTATTTATTTTTACATCTGTGCATTTGTCACAAGCTTTTATCCAAAGCGAATTACATAGCATTCAAACATTTTGTTAGTTCATGCATTCCCTGGGAGTCAAACATATGACCTTGGCATTCCTATCATCATGTTCTATACTGTTTCAGCAGCAGAAAAAAACATTTTTTACAGTTTCATAGCTGTTAAGACATATTAATGAAATTATCATATGCATTCTTGGTGAATGCTGATTTTCAAATAGATGTTTTCTTTGTATTTTCTAATGTGGTGAAAAGTGTTGTTTCTCTGTTCTGCAGTTGTATTCAGTATGTAAGAGAATGACTGGTGTTGTCGTTCCTGCTGCTGGAACAGTTTTCCTGCAGAGTGGTTGGCCTCTGATATTTTTCTCCATCATTGATATGCAAGCAGCATCACGCCGGCCCTACTGCAAGGTTAAGCAAGCGTGACGGCATGGCTTAGAAACCGGCTAGGAGTCTTTCTCTCTGTCTTTAGCCTATGTGTTATACAGCCTTCTTTTTTCACATATCACACACACACAGTCTGCACGGTCCTTTAGTTTTCCCATGTGACCTGTTTGAAATCCAGCAAAGTTAAGTGGTTTCTCCATTATTGTCACTTTGTTCTGTTTCTCCTGTAGTTGTAAACTAGACCAAGAGCTTCTGGTAAGCGTGTATGTTGTAAGTTCTTTTTCAGAGCTGCAGATTTTCTCCCTGCTTTCATCTGCAAGATAAGCTGGCATTTCCTGTTGTGGTGGAGAAAGGCATTGTTTCTCGAGGTGTTGTGCAGCATGCTTTGGACTAAACCCTAAACTCCTGGTTTTCATTCTGTGTGTTCATATGCCTGCTCAAGTCAAACACTATTTCTTAACATCTTCAAAAACATTAAACACGGACACTTGCTTTGTTGTATTTTGTTTGCGTTGTCTGTGCTTTTATAAAATTATGTTCAGTTTTATTGACACGTTATGATAAATAAGAAAGCAAACCACTTCCATATTAACTAGCAGAGCAGAAGAATTTGGGCCCAGTAGGCTGAGAAATGTAGCATTGTCCTGTCCACACAGGATATGAGTTTCATTCCTTACCTAGATGGCCTTTTCCCCTCTAAAATACTTTTGTTGTTCTTTCATAGCTCCATTTCACCTGTTTTGATTCAAAGGCTAAATGGAAGAACTGTTTTTTTTTATCATGTCTTTCCAAATAATGATTTTTTTTTTCAACTGACAGCAGTTTGCACACAATTTTAACCAAAAAGAGAAAAAAACAAAGAAACTAAATCTGCCATGGCCACATTTTGCTTAGAAATAAATCAACTGTAAATTTGCACACAGCCATTAAAAAGTTTGGGATCAGTAAGATTTAAAAAAGGAGAAAGATCTAGAGAATTTTTTCAGCATGGATGCATTAAATTGATCAAAAGTGACAGTAAAGACCTTTAGATTGTTACAAAGAACAACTGTTTCAAATAAATCCTGTTGAACTTTCTATTTGTCAAAGAGTCCTGAAGACAAATGGAAAGATAGAATTAGCACAACTCTTTTCAACATTAATAATAATAAGAAATGTTACTTCAGCACCAAATCGACATATTAGAATGATTTCTGAAGGATCACGCGACACACATAAAAGGTCATAACCATCATAAATGTATACATTTTCAAAGGATTAGTTAAAGATGTCAGGTATACTGATGTTAGGCTCATGCGCACAGTTTTGTTAAATAAAAGCAACTTTTGTAATCTGTCAGCTATTTTACAAATCACGGTTGCAATCATTTTTTTCTGTTGTCCTCATGTCACTCTCCTTCCTCCTTTTCAGCTCTCATCATTAATCATTTATGAGTTCCTGCTTTTCTGCCTCTCCTCTTCTACCCATCTCTATATTTGTCTTTCTGTGTTCATCCTCTGTTCTCTTTCACTGAACCTAATGTTTCAAACACATAGACATATTCATCCCAAATATACAAATACACACAGACAGGATCACCCTCAAACTCCCCGCTCTCTAATGTCTCTTGGGAAATGAGTCTGTTTGTATCTAGCGAGTGTAAGGCAGCCAATGAGAATGTTGTCAGTTCATCTGTAGGACAGGGAAGAGCGCTGTGTTGATGGGATGAGGGCGCAGCATGAGGTTAATGACACACTCTGAGACGATGTGCTCATCTCGCCTCTCTTCTGTTCTGTCATTATTATCTCTTTATATCATTTCTCATATTGATTGTATATCCAGTATCTTGAGCTGTAGTGAACAATTATGAGATCATTTTATTATTACTTGCTTTACCTGTTCCTTTTGTTGTACAAAATAAGTGCATATGTAGCTTCAGAGTTATTTATTCAGGCTTATGTATGTGTGTTAATTTCACGTTTTGATCAATGGCCCATAAATAGCTGCTGAAAACTGTCTTGAAGAGAATCAAACTTGATCGTTAATTATTTTATTTAGGGTTTACGTAATTGGTTATTTGTATTTTTATTTCATTTTTTATTGTATTGTGTATATATATTACAACTAAATTACAACTTGCTTGTTGGTTGTTGTAATTTTTATTGTTATATTTCTTTAATTAACGATGTTTGCTAAAGCAGGCATCATTATTACTGCCCATACTGAAATGAAAATTCATCATGTAACTCTACTACAGTCATGAATAATAGCTCAAATTGTGTGGCTTGTTGAGGAGTGCTGTCACTTTTTATATAGGGACTTATACCTGACTAAGTGATTTTCATCTCTGGCAAATGATAGAAGGAGTGAACAAATTCTATAGACTTTGGAGGAGAAGGCCTTTTTGGCTAAGCAACTACTTACTGTAGCAACTACTCAGAAATCCCTATAACAACCAGTAACAATACCCTGGCAATCATCCACAACACCCTATAGAAGGAAAATGTAAAAATTGAGCTCATCCTAAAACTGGTGAAGTATGCCTGTGCACAGTATCTTTTAATCTTAGACTCTTGAAACCTGGTTTCTTTTCTGTTCTAGTTGGAAGAGTTTGCATTTTGCTCGAAAGAGAGCACAGCTGGAAAGTTCCTGGTCTCTCCATTTCTTTTCTATTCTTTGTCATTAGAATATGAAAGTTTGCTGACAATCTCAGGAGGATTGATTCTCAGGAGCTCAGGACCCCCCGTCATTCCTCCAACCTTCAGATCTCCCCCTCAATCTCACTTGTGTTTGATCTTGGTTTGCCAATGCTCCTAAACTCTTCTGTCATCATTCCACTTCAGCATTTTCTTCTCTTGTACAAACACTGTCTTCTACATTGTGGTGAATGTTCTTCATATTTTGTTTGTCAGTGTATATGCATTCTCTGAACATTTGGGAAAAAAATTTGTTCAGTGCAGGTTTGTGTCTGCAGAAATAAGCAGGAGAGTGAATATTTTGTCTGCATTTGACTGTCTGAAATTATACATTTAATAGGATGCCACTGGACTGTGCTGACTCAGACTCACTTACACATTCATAGAGGATAGGCTACTCGAAAGATTAAAAAAATCATGAGCTTCATTTTAAAGGAATTTTACCAGTATAAAAAAATAAAACATCATGGCAAATATATGGAACTACTGAAAATATCCATGTCAGACTGTGAAATGAAAATGAAATGGTGAACTGAAGAGTAATGGAAACTGAACTCTCAGTGAACCTGATGTTTGCCCAGGTGAAAAAGAAATATATTTAAATTGTGCTTTTTCAGACATACTTACTATATTTAAATTATACTATACTAAGTAAGATGGAGGGCTGATGGAGCTGAGCGTCATCGTAGGTTCCGGAGACCTGGGCAGCCTAGTCGTCCTGACTCCTGGCATACAATATTCTGCACCAGAGCCTTGCAGCTTTAGAAAAAAACAAAACAGAAACAAAATTAAATAACAGATTTTTACATGAATGACTAACATAAGAACATACCGCTATATTTTCTAGTTAATTTCATAGTTCCCCCAAAACAATTTGAATTCTGTCATCACTCACCCTTAAGATGCTCCAAACATCTTAAGACTTTCGTTCATCTTCAAAAGAAAAGCGGAGATATTTTAATAAAAATCTGAGAGATTTGTCCCTCCGATGAAAGAAGATTCACCAAAGATGTTCACGTTTCAAAAAGTTGAAATCGCAAAAAAACATAGCCAAAGTAATCCATATGAATTGCAAAAAAAGTTTGTCTTGATAATGATCTCCAAACTGGGACTCATTTTGATATGCTGTATACACTCATTTTTCCTTATTAAATTCACATATTGGTTATTTAACCATATGAAAGGATACACTGACAGGCCATAAAGAATTGGATTCAATTAAAGGGATAGTGCATTCAAAAATGAAGATAGTTTCTCTTGTGTTAGGATATTCACGTTGTTTTTTTCCCCATGAAATAAAACTATATGCTGACCAGATGTAAATGTAAAAAATGTAAAAAAAAAAAAAAAAAAACATAAAGTTCAATGATTCCTTATGACTATATTATTCTAAACCCATATGATTAAAGTCATTATTCATTGAAAATCTTTTTCTTGGCTCTATCTCTCAAATCTCATTTGTGCACAAATGAAAATGCACATATAGTATAGTATTGAACATTTTCAGAATTAAACTTCAGGCTTTTAGTCATATGTCTTTAGTCTTTTTAGTCTTGACATTGTATTCCATTGATATTTTTATTAGTGCTTTTTGCAGTTTGCCATTCACCTTTTACTTCCACTGTATGAAAAGAGCAGTATTAACATTTTGTGAATGAGAATGAGTAAATGGTGACATAATGTGTAAATGATGACAATTCTGTAAGTTTGCTATTTCAGAGATGCCATGATAATTGTTTCTAATGAACCATTTTAGGAAGCTGAACAATTAAATTTTATGTAGCCACTGGAACCAGACCTAAGATTGGGACTAGCATTAGTATGGAAAGATATATTCATTCATATATATATATGAATGAAATGACACTAAAAAGAAAGTTGCCTAAAAGTCTTCTTAACTTTCTGTCTCTGCAGGTTAGCTCTGTATGTGTACGAATATCTGCTACATGTGGGAGCTCAGAAATCAGCACAGACCTTCCTGTCAGAGGTAGGTGAACTGGAACCTTTTTGCATTTTCACTAAGATCTCTGTGACTGTCACTAAAATGCTTCTAAACACGAATCTATTTAAGACGCTGTAGTTTTAGGAGATAATGTTTACATGTAGGCCAGTAAACGGCTCCAATGAAACCCACACTGTTCTCTGATCCCAGCTTAATCGAGTTACACTGGATACAAAACCACTCTGGCACGAGAAACTGGGCAAACTGTTTCTGTTTAATGGCACGGTCTCATGGAGATGCAGCGGGGGTCTGTAAGCTTATTTCCACGGATTTTCATAGAACTGTTCACTTGCTCTGCTCTGTAAATGAATGCGGTTTATGCTCAACATGAAGATTTAGTTAGAAATAGCTGGTTGTGAAAGGCTTTAGATGACCCAATACACAGAGTGGACAATTTGAGACCTGTTTGCACTGCAGCCACAATTCTTCAGACAGCAAGCAATGTTTTAACTTTCTTCTGAAGGGTCTGTTTTAGAGACACTCAACGTTAATGACTTGACATTCTCTCAAGCTGCGTTTGGGGAAGAGATGTTTATATCTGTGTCCACGACAGCTCGCTTGCTAATGACATGATCACTGACGAGATACAACTGAACAGTAAAAGTAAATGCAGATGAGTGCTGCAGCTCTTGAGTCAAGTAAATATTTGCGAATTACAGAGGAATAAGATCAGATAAATAGTGGAACAGAACAAAGAGAGAAGAGGAAAGACAGAGAAAGAGACTGGCACAATCACAGAGGTAAAAACACAAAGGCTGGCCCACCACTCAGACGTGAACATCAACAAGCCAGACGTACACTGCTGTCGTGACTCAGACCGGCCTCTGTGACTAAGCCAGCCGCCTCATCCATTGTGGCTGGTTTCCTTTGCGACTCCTGTCTTTTGCCACCCTGCTCATGTAACCAGTTCATGCTGGACTTGAACCCAAAAATAGCCGTAGCTCTCGCGGCAATGTATTGAGATAATGTTGGGCACACCCGTGTTGTTTATGGCGGCTGTCGTCAGCGCTTTAATGTCGGTAAACCCATCTCACATGGCCAGTGACTGAAACTGATGATCTCATCGAGACGGATGGTGTTTTCTGTTCCTGTTTAGTCTTTTGAAAAAGAGTTGAGGATGAGAAAGGAAAAGGGTTTGCAGAAGCTTTAGTGATAACTGAACTTCGCTAAACACAGCCTTTTACTGACCGATCTTACCTTAACAAGAGAAGTGAGAGAAGCGTTTGCTCTAGTTCTAAATCAGTGGATATCCTGTGTGTTTTGATAGTATTGAAGACTATTTTTCAGAAATTATCCAATAAAATGTTGCTAATAAGCCTCTTCTTTAAGGCAAGACACTACAGACAAAACTATTGTCTTTTTCATTCACTGCCCAATTTGGATATTTTGGACTATTTTGCTTCCATAATTTGTCTTCTTGTAGACTGGTGGAAAGAAAATATCCAAAATATGCTTTTAAGTGTTCATTTTTATTATAAATAACACTTTAGTTTTTTGTGTCTGTAGATTTCAATTAAAATGCATATAAATATATATATATATATTCATTCTGAAGGTTTTTACAGAGTTAACATTCACCTGATTTATATTAAAAAAAAATTCTGGCTGTTGACAGTAATTTCTGATTCGTGGAGTGATAAAAAGAGATATCCAAAATCTCCGCTGTAAAAACCTTTAACTAACAAAATGAAAACCGTTAACTCTAACAAAATAAAAAACTTTATCTGTCAACAAAATGAAACTGAATGTTCAGATTGCTGTTCTGGAAAATTAATGGAAATTAGTGCATAATTTAATTAGATAATGCCTCATTTACACATATAAACATAAAATAATTTAATAATGTAATAGAAAAAAAAACAGTTGTCCATCTGTGGAAAGTATGGTGACATCTGTTTGTTTAAATCTTTACCCTACTCACCTATAGTGTCTTGCCTTAAAATCTCCAGTTCCTTTCTATGTCATATTCTGCCAAGGAGAGCAGAGCTTAGTGAAGTGTCAATTGGTTAACTGAATTTTTATTAATGACTGAGTCACACTGAAACTGTTTCAAACAGATGCCAAGTAACAGTTTTATTTCTCAGATTTATTCTGGGCACCATGTTTGACTCAAAGTTCAGCTCTCCATGGCAGAATTTGCCCTTAATTATGTTTAAATCACAAAAGGAGCACAGGTCGACTTGTCACTGAATCTTTATAACGCTTTCTTTGTTCTCTGTTTGACTTGGCAGATCCGATGGGAGAAGAACATAACATTAGGAGAGCCGCCTGGGTTCTTACACTCATGGTGGTGGTAAGGAACTGAATGTTTCTTTAGCACTATTTTAGAAAGGCGGGATTAGTGTGCTAAAAGTGTTTTGAGTTATACTTATCAAGATAGGAACGATATATTCATGGGATCTCTAGTTAAAGGGGTCATGAATTTTCCTTCAAATTTTCCTTGATCTTTTGACATGTAAAAGGTCATTGTACTATAAAGCTGTTATTGAAACCAAGCTCAGGAAACGACTTGTTTCCGTTTTTGTCACATTATAACGTCATAGTGCGACAAAAGGCCACCTCTGCAGAATCAGATCAATGACTACTTCTACATCATGGCGTCTTTGGCCCTGCCCACTGTGAGATGAAAAGGAGAGAGGAGCAATAAAGGATAACTGGACTAAAAATAACATTACCTTCCAAAGGATCCTGCAAATGAGCTGCTGCTTTCTGGAAAGAGGGTGAAGCCTTTACTGTTCCTGCCTTGGTTACTAAGGCAATAACAAAGAAAACATCTGTTTGTTTTTGGTTGTCGTCATCTCTTTGGGTATTGTGTCAAAAACACAGTTCACTTAAACATAGTCGGTTATGTCTGCGAATATAAAATCTGAACGTGTATCAGTATATTAGATCTATGAAATGGCGCCTCTCAGACATGGCGACAGCAAACTACGCAACTCAACCAGACCTCGCCCCCGATATTGTTTTTGCTCATGCCTTAGGGGTGAATTATTTAAATGTGGGATATTATGACGTGCACGTTCCCAGAAGAAAACTGAGGACTATAATTGAAGTTCAGAAACAGCTTACTTATATAGAGAAAAACTCCCTTTAGAATTGACTTTTTGTTAAATACTAAGGTGTTTATATTCTGTATATGTGCATTATGGAACATCTTGTTGTCTGGATATATGCAACACAAAATCCAAGAAAATAAACAAAACCAATAATATAATATAATATAATATAATATAATATAATAGGGAAGGAATTCATTAAGGTGATGATCATGGCTGTTCTGAGCAGTTTGTGATCAGATTCTCCCAATTACATTTTTTTTTTTTTAAACAATACAAATACCTTTACTGTCATTTTTGATCAATTTAATGCATTCTTGCTGAATAAAAACATAGTTTATTTAAAAAAAAAAAAACAAGAGAACACTTGAGGAACTCCAAAAGTGAGGAACCCCAAGTTATAATATAGATTCTCTGTGATTTTTACCAAGTTAGTGCGAAAACTTGAACTTTAATTAACTGAGAATAGTCATTTATTCTCAGACTGCAGTAACAGTCTTTTTTATAATATATTGTACATCTTTTATTGCAGTGTTTTCTGGGACCTCTACTGTGCTGCTCCTGAGAGGAGAGAAACATGTGAGCACTCAAGTGAAGCCAAAGCTTTTCATGACTATGTGAGTATAAATATGTGTTCTCTTACAATGAGGATAATCATGATTTGGTGCAGGAACCACATTTTTAATGGCTGCTGAAAGCAAGAACCCAATTTTTAAAGAGAAATGAAGGAGGCATTTAGAACCACTAATAAATCAATGAATACATTTGAGTGTTTTGTACTATAAACAAAACCAGTATGAAACCACTGACGTGTAGAACAGCAGTTACAGCTGGTCTCTGGAGAAACCTTGCAGGATAATGGTGAGTGAGTGTACAGCTCATAGAAGGAGAGGTGAGCAGGAGGGGAATGGAAAGCGGGAAGGATGATAAATTGGTGGTCCGTGCTGGAGGCATTAGCAATGATGTCATACATTTGCGGTCGTCTTGGCTAGAGGGAGGAGGACACCTTGACCTATTCTGAGTATGAAAGAGAGAGAAATAGGGAAGCATATAGAGTGAGCGACAGAGTGTGATTAGATTAAAGGCTTGTCTATAAGAAATGACTCATTTGGATTAGGTCAAAATCAGCATAATAGCCTCATTGTTCCTCTAATACCTTGATTAAAACCGCAATGACTCCACCTACAAGTCAGGTACCTGTTTGTCGGCCACAAATTATGTAGATCTCACGACCAGAATCACTAAGATTAACTGCTGACCAACCACAGCTCATTACGGTAAAAGCCTTCGCTTTAAGTTCATGCTTCAATCATGTGAAGTGATTCCACACTGATTCTCATCCGTGCGTGAAATGTTAAAGACACGTCATTAAATCATAAAATACTTTAAAGTGATCTATGATCATGGCTACATTGTGTTTAGCAAGTTTCATTAAAGTAAGCCAGCAATCATATTTCCAGAGGTGTTTTCATCTTAATGAATCTATATGTTCATAAAGGTATATATAATTAAATATAAAAATATTATTAAATTGCTTCACTTAAAGTGATAGTTTGCCCAAAAATAAAAATGATGTCATCATTTACTTACCCTCAAGTTGTTTCAAACCTGTATGAGTTTGTTTCAGCTGTTGAACACAAAAGAAGATATTTTGAAAAATGTTGGTAACCACCAAACCATTGACTTCAATAGTATGAAAAAAAAATACTATGGAAGATAATGGCTACCGTCAACTGTTTGGTGGTTACCAACATTTTTCAAAATATCTTCTTTTGCGTTTAACAGAAGAAAGCGATTCATACAGGTTTGGAACATTTTCATTTAAATTTGTAATTAATTTTTAGTGAAATAACTCTGAAAATATGTGGTCTCTAATATTTGTGTGCTTTTTAGCAAAGCAACAGTAATGATTATACATAACACGTATTGTAATATTCTCACTTAAGATACACATCCAAAATGTGAAGTAACTAAATCTTGAAGAATGATCCAGCGACTCACCCCGCATTGATTTCCATTGTTTAACTGCCATTTTTTTAGCATGGAAATATTGTCTGCTGTGCTGTAAGTGCTCTTCAGATTATTCTCTCCTGCCTAAATGAGCACATTCCATTTCCCTGGCAATCATAAACACACTCTATTTTTACCCACTCTTTCTCATTGTGTTCCCAAAAAAAAACAAAAAAACTCAGCAGACAATGACTGGTACTCTGTTGCCTTTCTGTCATTTAACATGAATGGAATGAAGTCTGAGACTCTGGAGATCACTCAGTGTTATTTAGTGCTACACTTTGCATGCTCTTTTCCTTCAGTCACCTTTCAGGAAAGGAACAGTTTGCCTGTTAACTAGGTCCAGTGAAGATAATCATACATTTGAGTTGTTGGAATAGATGCATACAATTGTATCATTACATTACATATTGCTGAATCTTCAGTCTTCTTCTATGGTAAAGTGTGACCTTTTTATTAAGTTTTCTGTATTTGTTTCTGTCATAGAATTTTTTGTCATGATTGTTAGATTTAAGAATCAGGATCTTTTTATTTTGCTCCTTAAATCAATAAGTTTATATAGTACTTTGTCAATCTCATTATAATCAATTTTAAATCATAGTAAATTATAATGAAAAATAAGAGAGCACACTGTTTACACCAGCATAGCTCTTAAATAATTCACAATAAACTACTAAACCATATTATAATTTAACATATTCTGGTACACTATTACGCCACACTTGTGTCTAGTAATGCAATCTGAAAGCATAAATAGCGGATCATAAAAAACAGCATATATGATTGTTCCTCCACCTGTAACTTTAATTTCACTGCAAACTGAAATAACTTGGAAACTAAAAATATATAGTGGCTGAAGGTCTGGCTACTTGAGGCTAACGAACATACTAAAAACCTAAATGTGAAATGTTCTTTTCAGGTGTTTTATTTACTTTTTTACCATTATTTTACCCATTTTATAGAAATTCAATATATGACTCAATATCACACTGATGTTATTCCTGGTTAAACCATGGTGCTCTATTAAATATATAAAGTCATTTGTTGGTAAGTAGTTTGTAGCTAAAACTACAAGTGATTTTATTAATCAGCACCATTTAATAAATCAGCAAATCCTGAGCATTTTTTTTTTCCAAGTTCTGATAAGCCTTTAACACAATGTCTTTACATGAACATCCTTCATATTCTCTATTGATGTTCTCCTGTCTGGCTTAGGGCTAGTCTCTTCTGCGCTTTCATTTTCTTTGTGTTCACACAGAGTAGAACACAAACAGCAGCAAATTAAACATGAGAGAAAGAGGGGAAGCACGGCAGCATGAAATAGCTTATAATATTATGCAGCCTATTCAAGCATGTTAATAAAGATTTTCACCCCTGAATGGAGAGAGATATTTCACACAGTGTACCTACATTCAGAGCTTAGATTTTTGCTGCCACACTCAATAGTGTAGCCTACATGTGCTTTTTGATCCTTTCTTATCTTAAATGTTTATCTCTTGGCCAAAATCTTTGGGTGCTCAAACTTTTTACTTTAAAATATGTTAATTCAGTGACTATGATAACATGTTAACACATTTAATGAATGATGGGTAGCTTCTTATGTTCGTTTTTTTTTTTTTTTAACAATATTGTGGCATTATTGGATGAAGTACTCAAATAATACAATTACAAAAATATACTCATTGAGATTACATAACAGCATATCACCTTATTATTATATTATATTATAAATATGTTGAGAAATAATACATATTCCTATAGTTTTATGTTTTTATTCATAATAACATTTATTCTAATAATTCCTCTAAAAATAACTTTTTGTTCATGTTTACCATCTATCACATTGTTTTACTGATTTCCCCTGTGTTGTTTGGGCCAGTGTGAAAGATGATCGGCATGATGGGGAGAAGAATCCTTTTATTATTATTGTGTATTTAATCTCAATATGGGTTGATGCACACAATCTGAGCCAGGGTACTTTTACACACAATTGAATTCGTATGCATACACATATTCTCAGAGGTTCCTGTAATGTCTGGCTGGCCGTGTTCCAGAGGTCGAGAGGTGGATTCAGGGTAGTGAGTTAGCAGCTGGGATGGGTACTCATTGTGGGTTAACTGAAAAACACTGTTGTCCTGAAGAAACCCCCTCAAACACACACAGAAGCAAACACACACTAGTTGGTTAAAGCTTGCCATCTGTACAGCAGAGAATGTTTCCAGCAGAGAGAGACAGCAGGAGAGGAGATGTGGCGAGGATGACCTCATCACTGCATTCGATTAGACTGCAGATATTGTGGGAAAGATTGCCTGGTGGTTATAGGACTGCATCATTACCCAGGAGGCTTCTGGCTCCATCGTTAACACACAACCAGTGCTCCAAGTTGTCATTCTAAATCTGATATTGTGCTTTAATGGGTTGTTAACAGAATACATTCAAACAAAAAAAAGTAAAAAAATTTTTAACTTGAGTGGGCCATTTTTGGAATACTGCAAACGACACAAGCGCAACAGTGAAACGTGCTGGCCTAGCATGTATTTTACATGGAAAAACAACAGAAAACTGACAGTGGAATCCAAATACACATTCCGTGTGAATGCTCCAACAAAAAAACAGTCCCAAATCCATAGCAGAATCAACTGTTGAGATTTCAAGCAATGAGTAGCATTCCCGAATGAATAAGAGTAAGCTGAGTGAAAGATTCAATGACTCGCTCATAAACACCAGCTGTATCCCAATTCAGAGGCTGAATAAATGTGGCGGAAAGAATCAGTTGAGTGAAAGATTCAGTGACTCACTTATAAACACAAGCTGTATGTTGACGTACCTTAAAGATGTGATTTTATAGATAGTTTATACTTTTTATTATGTACATAAATTGACCAAAGTGAACATATTTAGACAGGTTGTGAACCCTGCTTTGTTTTCAGTTGACAGTTGAATATAACTTTCAAAAAGGTTCAGTACAAATGTTACTGCCACTCGTCAACACCAGCTGTCACAGTTTCTAGGTGACAAGAGGCTATGCTGCCCTAACAACACTTGGTTTGGTCATACCTTCGAAGTCCGCGTCCTTTCTAAGGATGCAGCCCCTGAATTGGGACATAGCTACGTACAGTCACCTGTTTAGTTACTGAATGAATCAGTGTTTTTGTAAAATACATGACTCAATGAGTCACTAACAAAGACAGTCACTGGTCGCCACCTACTGGCGTAAGGAAAGACTATAGCTGTACATTTCTCCACCACAAATCACAATAGATTCACATCCTGTCAGGAAAGTGGCAAACAGTAAAAGTCCCATATTCTATTCGGGACACGATGTACATATTTACTTTCTACCCTATAAATACACATCCAATTGTTTATTGTTTTGGGGTAAAACTTTTCTGGATTTATGTTTGGTTTGCACAAGAAGTGTCCAATGGCATGATAGGGGATGAATAGATGTGGGGAGCAAGGGAGAGATTAATAGAGAAGGGCAGCTAGAGTCTTCCTTCCTGTCTGTATCACTGGTATATTTCCTGTTGTTATATTGCTCTGTCTGTGTTCTCGGCTGGTTTAAAGGCTAATCTTACCATCATATACACATGGCTCAGGTTCACGTGTCACTATAATGTATCTCGGTTGTCTCTCAGTGGAGCTTATGTAACAAGTCACATGCTTAAAAGAACAGATGTGAGAATGCCTGAGATTATAAAAGTTGCTTGTATTTTGGATGAATGTCGGTGTGTGAATTTGATGTTGTATTTCAATAGATGAATATCTCAATCTCTCTCACGTTAACTTTGGACTGTTTGGTTAAATGAACTGAATTCCAGTTTTCCTTTACCACATTCATCCTCCATTCAAGAATTCTTCTTACAGACTGGATCTAATGTTTTATGTTCCTCTCTTTTGATCTGAGTAGATTTATTTCTTTAGTGTGAGGAATAGGGATGTTGTCCTGATGCAGCTGATGAGAAATTCTAGACAAAGGGACTTGCCATTCCACCCACGTTTCTCTAATGAGTAGAGAAATGAGTCTCTACCCAGCCAGCCACTGGAGGAATCTCTTTCTCACACACACACACACACACACACACACACTCTCACTCACTGCCTCCTTATTGCAGACAGAAGGAGCAAATCTAATAAATATGGAAATGTATGAACTTAGAAATAGAGTGAGCTGCTGAAGGCTTAAACTTTTAAAATCTGGAACATATTGGCTGTGTATATAGTACAGCTGTTTCTTTACAAAGTAAGAAACATTAAAAATTTACATTTATAGGATAAATAATTTCCATTGCACTTGTATGTACTAGTATACATTTTGAAATAATTGTGACTGGCCATATCTGGACTTGGAGTCTTCTGAGAGAAATACGAATCAATTTGGTGCAGTCTATCCTCAAAATTGGACTGTGTAATCATAATTTTCCCTCATTTTTTTCTTTTGGTTTTTGGGATAAAATGCATTATGACCCAGACATATTTTTTTGTTATTTTCACCCTAATTACTAATAAGTACTGTAGAGTATACAGACAGGATTCATAGGCATCCAAACAGCCATCATTAACCACTGGGGTTCATGGCACTGGGTACGGTCAGATAACTGCCATGAGTGTATGTGAGGGGCAAACGGGAAAGCAGTTGCTTCTGTTCCATTTCCAACGAGTACAAAGCCTAAACCACCAGCGAAACTGTAGTACATCAACACTAGTGATGTTAATTATTCAGTGGACAAAATGTGTTTGCCAGAAGGGTCATCTTCTCAGTGTCTGTCTTCCCACTGTTTCATATTTCCTCTCATTGTCCGAGCCTTAGGTTTGTGTATGTGCATGTTATTGCTGATGGCTGTTTAATGACCTCCATCTCTGTGCTGTCACCTCTGCTGTAAAGAGAAGTCTCTTTTAGAAATACGTTATGCTTGTTATGCTTAATGTGTTTACAGTGTGCCTGTGCTTATAGTGCAGTGACTTTTTTATGTGACTTTGCAGTGTACAGTAACTTGTCTGGCCATAAAAAGAGCAGCAATTATTATACAGTGCTGATGTTTAAAGTCATTTTTGCTGCTTGTTTATTGCTCTGGTCTTCAAAATGTCATTCATTTTCAGGTTATTTATAACATGCATATGTTTTTATCAAAGTCATATGTAACATCCGACTCCTCTTTAACAATCTTCCTGTGTCTTGTATGTTGTTTTTCTTTATGAAGATATTTGAGGATATTTCATCTTGAGTTTTGTGTGTGTGTGTGTGTGTGTGTGTGTGTGTGTGTGTGTGTCCTGTAGAGTGCAGCAGCAACACAGAGTCCAGTGATTGGAAGTCCTCCTGGAGATGGTATGCCTTTGCCCCCGGGATTTTTTCAGGTACACACACACACTTTTTTTTTATATGTATGAAGTATTGCATCTTTAGCATTTTTTGGCTAAAGAGTGTCCTATCCTGACTAACATATTTATTAATACTTATTTTATATATTGTTTTTAACTTTTAAGTATTAAATTGATTTAAACTTTATTTCATTGAAATATCTTTTTCATAAAGGTCACTGAATGACGGTGCTTTTTTTACTGTCTGAAACACAACAAAACATGGAAGAAATAAATTCAGATAAAAGCAGTGAGAAATTATTTTCTTCTTCTGTGACTGACAGTTGAACCGGGAGAGATGTGCTGAGTCAGGAGAGATTATGAATGAGTGGGCAATTAAATATTTATTCAGGCCAAGAAAACTATATGTGGATGTCTGTAGCAGCAGATTATGCAAGGATTTCCACACTTTCATTTTTAATTGGAAAGAGGAGATGTGCGTCTTTTCAATTATTTGTTTAATTATCTTTTATAATGTGTTATATTTGAAGGAGGATTTCGAGTGCATGAATACTGGACTGTGTGTACGTCAGTGATAATGCACCAGAACATACACTGATTAACTGTCAGCAGCCAGTCTGAGAGCTGCTGTCTTGCCTGATGTGTTTTGACAATCGCTCATTGATAGTCTCAAACTCAGATTCCCAAAGAATCCAGCTGTCAGCTCTAACAATACTTTCTTCAGTTGTCCTCTCTAACTCACACAGTTTGATCCAGTTTTATTTTAACCAGCCGTCTGAGATATCAGCTTTGAACTTCGCAAATACATATCTGTTGAAATGCAGCACTTTCCTTTGTATTGAAGCCAATGTGAATTGCTGTTTGCAACCCATTTTGTGTGATGTGTGTGAGTAAAACAGGATAGTTATTCATTAGAATTTGATTTAGTGATGAAAAGTAGAGAAAAGTGTAGTCACTCAATAGACTTCTAGAAATTGCATGAGTGTTTTTACAATGAGGTATGAATTAAAGCCACATATGTTGCCGATAAAGTTATAAATTTGAACTTGAAGACTGAACTCTTTGAACTCTAACTTGAGACTGAATTACAGATGTAAAATACAATGTTGCAGTGTTGCCATCTGGTGGTGTGATTTATGGTGCCACTCAGTTGCTCTGGTTTGCTTGCTGGATGAACCATGAAAATTGTTGAGTGATGTAGACTAAATTAATTAATTGTTCTCTGTCCTTGTGTTTCCTCAGCAGTTTATGTCTCCTCGATACCCAGGTGGGCCCAGAGGTTCTCTCAGAATACCCAATCAGGTATTTATATATTCTGCTTTCGGGATCTAAAGTTTTCATTCAAGTCAAGTCAAGTCAAGTCAAGTCTGCTTTATTGTCAATTCTTCCACATGTACAGCACATACACACAGAGAATTGAAATTGCGTTACTCTCAGACCCTTGGTGCATACAGATAACACTAACAGTAGAACATAAATACAGATATACAGATTAAATATAAAATACAACTATACAAATAAGGTAAATGTAAAAAAAGAAAATATATAAAAAAAAAAAAAATATATATATATATATAAAGCAGCACACGGCAGATAGAGTGCAAACCAGTGAAAATTCAGTGCATGATAATGACTGTTACTTGATTTGAACAGGCTTTGGGCCCTGGGAACCAGCCTCTATTACCCAGTGGGATGGATCCTACAAGACAGCCAGGTATTTCAAATGCTAACAACTCTGTAAATATGACAGTATGATCAAGTCCACCTCACCACCTACCCTTTGTGAAATGCTTTGGATAATTTTATTATTAAATTTACATCCAACAAAATTGACAGAAATCCTCCCAAATGTATTGAAATTGTGTCTGTAGATTCTGTAAACAGCTGTAATAATACATCAAACTATGAAATATGAAACCGCTTTGCTTCCTTTTCCCATTTGTAAGGCCATCCCAACATGAGTGGGCCCATGCAGAGGATGGCCCCTCGAGGAATGGTTCCTATTGGACCACAGGTGAGTTATCCATGGATAATTATGTACATTTGTATAAGCATGTTACAGTGCTCGCAATCTTAATTTTAATGTGTTATTGGGTATAATTGGTGTTCCAGAACTATGGTGGTGGGATGAGACCTCCCCTAAATGCCCTTGTGGGGCCTGGGATGCCTGGGATTAACATGTAATTGTATTCACATTACAGTCTATTATCATTCCATAAAGAATCCCTATTATACTACTGTATAAAGTTGTATAACACTGTATATTTGTATACTGTTGTGTAAAGGGGTCCTGCAGGAGGAAGACCATGGCCAAATCCACCAAATAACAATTCGGTTAGTTCTCATCATGGTATGTGATAACTGATCAAAAGTCTTGTGTCCTAAACTATATAAATACCCGTACTTTCTCCCTGCAGATCCCTTATTCATCCGCGTCTCCGGGCAGTTATTCGGTAGGTAATGTTGTCCAAGGTTGTTTGTTTGTTTTTTTGTTACCTTGTCTGAGGTAACTTTGGGTAACACACTCTGGTCATTTGAATAAGCAGCACCAGTGTGTTTGTAGGGTCCCCCAGCAGGAGGTGGCCCTCCAGGAACACCCATCATGCCCAGTCCCGCAGGTAACAAATACTGAATCAGTCAGCACAATACTAACTACTTCAAGTCCAATGACATTCTGTAAACCTTTTAAGGCATCATAGGGAAACAAAAGGATTCTGTGAAAAGCCTTGTTCATGGCTTCTAACATATCTTGATTAGGTCAAATTCTAAAAAGGCAGCAATGCATTCTTTACCCATACCAAGTCATTTATTTTGTCTTTAGCTAAAAATGAACTACTAATGTGTGATGTACAATATTGATTTTAGAGTCAAACAACTCAAGTGACAACATGTACAGCATTATCAGCTCAGTCCCTCCAAATGGAAACAGACCAAATGTGAGTCTTGGTAGTTTCTGAAATATGGACATGTAAAGTGTATTTGGTATTCTTATGGGATTTTTCCTTTCAGTTTCCATTAGGTTCAGGTTCTGATGGCCCAATAGGCAGCATGGCAGGCATGGAGCCTCATCATATGAATGGTACGACAGATTTAAATGACATTACACAAGTCAACATATACAGTATATATACATATACAGTATATATATACACACTATATATATATAATCATCCATTTGCACATTGAATACTTTAAAGTCTCTTCCTTTTCCCTCCATTCAACAGCAGGATCTGGCGACATTGAAAGCCTCCCAAAGGTATGGGGCATTTCCGTACTGTTATGACAGACATTTAAACAGTGACGACCATTTCTCTGAAATTCATTTGTGGTTTCTGTCCTCAAACTCAATGTTCACATTCATCAGAGCTCACCAGGAAACCTCAGCATGAATAATCAGCCTGGCACACCAAGAGATGATGGAGAAATGAGTGGCAACTTCCTCAACCCATTTCAGAGTGAAAGTGTATGTATGCAGAAAGCCTTTTCTATAGGATAATTTGTGTTAAATACAGCAGCAGCTGTCATTCAAACTACCTTCCTGTCTTGCAGTATTCTCCAAACATGACAATGAGCGTGTGAAAGGACAGCACAGGAGTTATGTTTTCACCGTGTTCAGCAAAAAAACAGGATCTTCTCAAAACCGGCTCTTTGGTTTTCTACTCATTTTGTCTTTGGTGAACTATTATGAATTACAGTAACGTCATCCTACACTAAATCTGAATAAACTTAAGCAAGCCATGAAAGGAAGCTGAAGACACCTAGAAGAAGCTTTTCCACCGTTTTTTATCATTCCATTGTTAATATTGTCCTGTCTCCTGTTTGGATTCACACAGGGCTCAATCCATTTTTTAATTATTGAATCTTTCCACAAGTTTTTGTATGTACCTTTTTTATGTAATTTTTTTTTTTCTGTGGTATGCAGCATAGCTGATACCAAAAAAACAGCAGTTCCTTACATGTAATAAATAAAATTCTCCACTTTTAGATGCAGCATAATTCACACAATTACACTCTGTTATGATTGAACAGCAGAAAAAATATTTTTTGTTGTTGAGTGAGCTAAATATGACATTTCAAGGCCTTCATCATATTGCGTTGTTTTCAAACGAAGTTAAGCAAGGATTTGATCAGATGACGATCACTGACAAAATCACCCATTATCAAACACATTGTTTAGGCGAACCAAAGGTTGGCTTAATTTCATTTTTGCTCCAGAATAAGACAAATGTACAGTATATCCCTTAATGTAATGGACTGACCTGAATTTTTTCAAAATTTCTTGTCATGTTGGATTTGTTCTTGTAAATACAGCTATCTGTAAAGAATCTGGATATGCTGATATAAAAATCATTTTCACCATTTGTAGTGTGTGTTTGTGTATGTAACCTTTCTTGAGGAAAAAAAATTGCACAAGCCAGAAGCCACCATAAATTAATTGTGTTAGTACATTCTCGTTGCGTAGATGGTAAAATAATATTCTTGTTGGATATGAAATTTGAGGTTAAAGAGACACCTAGATTGAGACAAACCAATATATGTAACCCTGGACCACAAAACCAGTCATAAGGATCAATTTTTTTAAATTGATATTTATACATCATCTGAAAGCTGAATAAATAAGCTCTCCATTGATGTATGATGGATTGTTATAGGACAATATTTGGCCGACATACAACTATTTGAAAATCTGGAATCTGAGGGTGCAAAAAAAATCAAAATATTGAGAAAATCGCCTTTAAAGTTGTCCAAATGAAGTTCTTAGCAATGCATATTACTAATCAAAAATTAAGTTTTGATATATTTTCGGTAGGAAATTTACAAAATATCTTCATGGAACATGATCTTTACTTATCCTAATGATTTTTGGCATAAAAGAAAAATCGATAATTTTGACCCATGGCTATTGCTACAAATAAACCTATGTGACTTAAGACTGGTTTTGTGGTCCAGGGTCACATATCAGTGTTCAAAGCACAAAATATGTTGGTGACCAGCTATATTGGTCATTTAAACAAGATTTGAAGCCTGTATTTACATCATTTGCATTGTTATACACTACCGTTAAAAAGTTTGGGGACTGAAATATTTTTTAATTGTTAAAAAGAAGTCTCATGCTCACCAAGACTGCATTTATTTGATCAAAATACTCTATAAACAGTAATGTTGTGAAATATTATAATTTTAAATAACTTTCCATTTTAATATATTTTAAAATGCATTTTATTCCTGTGAGCAAAGCATAATTTTTTTCCTCATTCTTCAGTGTCACATGATCCTTCAAAAATCATTCTATTATGCAGATTGGGTGCTGGAGAAACATTTCTTAGTATTACCAATGCTGAAAACAGTTGTGCTGCTAATTGTATCTTTATGAAAACGGTAATACATTTTTCAGGATTTTTGTGATGAATAGAAAATTCAAAACCACAGTATTTTCTCTGAAATATAAATCTTTTGTAACATTATAAAAGCCTTTACTGTCAATTTAATGCATCCTTGCCGAATAATTTTTCTGACCCCAAACTTTTGAAAGGTAGTGCACGTTTGTAATATCTACCTAAAGATAAAACCATAGGTGGAAAGGTTTTTGAGAATTTTCACCAAGTAAAATCCAGCCATCAAGTAAATTACGGTGAACAGAAAATTTAACATACAACTGTAATTTTTGTTTTTACAAAGCATTAAGTGTCCGATATGTAAATATGCATTTATTGGCAAGAATATAGCTTTTTGACATGGTAACAAATACAAACATAAAGAAAGAATCTATACATTAGCAGAGATGATATAAAAGCGATTTTAACGAAACGATTTAAGTGCCAGTCATTTGGATGTTCTTGGAAATGTTATGATGGAGTGCAATCAACTCCTAAATGTCATGAGCTGGACCTGATCAAATAAATGATTTAAAGTCCTTGGAAACCTGCTACAGCAGGTTTGAGAAGGTCTCTCACCCTGACCAGCTGCAAAGTTCTCAAACCCCGTTTAAAATCAGTCTGCTCATGCCATCAGCTTCCTGTACTGGTTGCTCACGCTGCTTTTAAAAGTCTCCAGCTTGCTTGATCTGGTGGTGCTGGTGAACTGTGCGCTCCTCTCCACGCCTGACGCTCCCTGACACTTGAGAAAGGCGAGAACCTGTTTTTGGCACTGAGACGATCCGAAGTAGTACATGAGGGGGTCCAGACAGCAGCTGACGCTCCCTATGCACGTGGACACCAAGTACGCGGCGTAGGACGCGTCGTTGTGCTTGTGCGCGAACTGCACGTAATGCGACAACAGGATGATGTTGGTGGGCGCGAAGCATATGACGAAAACAGAAAAAACCGTTACGGCCATAAAGACGGCCCGCGTTTTTTTCGCGCGGTTTTCCACGTTGGCCGCGCACAAGGCTTGGATGATGCGCACGTAGCAGACGGTGCTAAAAATGAGCGGGATGAAGAAGAAAAGCGAAGAGATGATGGGGAAGAAGTACAGGTAATACTCGCGGAGGTGGTGGAGGTCAAGGACGTCGTGACAGGTGGTAATGCCCAGGTCAGGTAGGTGAATGGTTTGATTGGAAATTAGCAAAGGTGTCACACCGCCGATGGACAGAAGCCACATGGCAGCGCACACGACGGACGCGGTTTGTGGACTGCGCCAGGTGAGCGAGTTCATCGGGTAAACGACAGCCATAAAACGGTCCACACTGATGCACATCATGAGCAGCACAGAGCAGTACATGTTACAGTAGAAAGCGGCCGTGACGAAGCGACACATGCCGGCCCCATATATCCAGTTGTTTCCGTTGTAATGGTAGGCTATCCTAAACGGGAGCACCAGGACGAACAGAAGGTCGGCGCAAGCCAGATTTATCATATAAATCACCGCCGGTTTTTTCGGTCTCACTTTGCGCACAAACATGACCAGCGCCAGGAGATTTAGGGGAGCGCTGATGATAAACACTATAATGTATATTGTTGGGATGACAGCGGTCAACACGCGGCCTGTGAGGAAGCTGGAGGCCTCCGGAGAGATGTGATAAGTCTTTTTAGCCACATGGTGGTGGTGATCTTTCTTGGGTTTGGATACTGGACCCGAGCCTGAGCCGCTACCCTCCTCCTGCACGTCAAGGAAATCAATTGGCTCGTCGGTGACGGTGAGGAAAAAACCAGAAAATGTCCGAATATACGATTCTGGAAAAAGAATGATGAAACATAATGAAACTATTTAGGTGTAAAATGTTTGCTTGAAAAAAAAAAACAAAGTCACATAAATCTTTTTGTTTCCTGGTTATAATGATTCCTTAAAGGGATAGTTCACCCAAAAATGAAAATTTGATGTTTATCTGCTTACCCCCAGGGCATCCAAGATGTAGGTGACTTTGTTTCTTAAGTAGAAAACAAACAAGATTTTTAACACAAACCGTTGCAGTCTGTCAGTCTTATAATGGAGGTGAATGGGAATCACGGCTTTGAGAGTACTGTCCTGAGCGGCGGCACGTCCTCCGGAGCGCTTTCTCAACAGCAGGCGCATGAGGCGTCTTCTTCTTCTTGCTTGCTTTACGGCAGATCGCAGACTTATAAGTGCATTACCGCCACCTATCAAGTGGACCATTGACACTTTATCTACAATCTCAATTAGGAGTGTCAATGGTCCACGTGAGAGATAGGTGGCGATATGCACACAGGATGTAACACGCCAAAAAACGGAAGACGACGACGACGCGCCTGTTGAGAACGTGCTCAGGAGGACGCGCCGCCGCTCAGGACAGTTCGAAAAGTTTGGACATTGCGTGAATCAGAGGTTAAAAAACGATATAAATACTGTTCAGTTTCTTGTACGTTTTGTGTCTTTACACATCAATGTATTGTCACGAGCCGCAGGGTTTAATTTGGTTTTGTTTGTGTA